GGAGTGCCTTCTGTTGTCATCTTCTCTGGGAATCAGCAAGCAGCAGGACAGACTTTACCGGCCTGACTCGACTGACTACGGTTAGTCACGTTCCGTCAAACGGACCCTGACTCTAATTGAGTTGTGTACTTGTTCATGGCTTCATTTGTTGCGGTCAAATTGAATTTGTTGTAGTGAGTTTTTTTGACGAACCCATAGCGCTTCCAAAGCAAATCGAATGGCGTCCGACATTTACTTAGTGTTTGTGTGCTTTGTTTTAGAAGTTATTGAAAATGCAGTGAACATCATATATAGAATCTAAACTTAACAAGCTCAATATTTGATTTGCAAAGTCCGGCGAAGTAAAAAATGATTGCATGATCGCGTGTCATGATGTGATGTCCGGCGGAAAGCGACAAAGCCACGCAAAACCTGTTCAAAGGAAGGTCTAAGTTTTTAAGTGTAGGTCACAACACATCACCACACATCGACAAAGAACGAAGGCTCCAAACACTTGATACAAGGCAAAACATTTACATCTAATAGATGGTACGCAAAGATTTTACAAATTCAACATAAGATCTACCAGACAACAACAAAGACAGCTAAAGTTAAATTTGCATACGAAAGAAATTTTCTAGATTTTGCGAAGATCAACGGCAGAAAGCGCAAAACACTTTCCCACACATTCTCTAAGTTTTCCCCCTACACATCAAATGAACAGGTAGCCGGTCTAGACCCCCCTGATCTGGTCCCCACCTTTTGTTTGGGGAGCTTCAAACCTTGTCCTGTCCACCGGACTCGACCCGCCAATGCTGGCGGCACAAGCTCCCGCACTCACTGTTTGATGCCCTGAGCTTCAAAAGGTTCAGATCCGACTTTTGTCCTCCGGACTCAAGCTTTGTTGCTGTTGACAGTTTTTGGATGTTGACATTTGTTGGCATTTGCTTTTGACATGTGTCAGTTTTTGGATCAAGGCTTTGTGGGGAGTCACTGTGCAACATGGGTGAACGTGTTCGATACCCATTCACTATGATGTGGAAGAGTGACCTGATGTCAGCGGAGGAGATGAGTCGCTTTGTGGAGGCTTTGCAGCCTCAAGATCTTTGCCTTGAGCCGACTCTAGTCTTGACAATGACAAGTTTGCATAGACAGGATTTATGGGTACTGAGTCTGCGAAGCCAAGGATTGAGCCCTTTTCCACAGATGCTGCTTTTGCTGAGTGGGCTCGGAGCCTTGGTGTGGTACTGAGGTTCTCATGCTGTTCTTTCCGCTTGAAATCAAGCTGATGCTCTTGTGTAGAAATCTCCATGACCGGAGATGTCTCATAGCCTTCAAGTAGTTGCAACCCCGAGACCGCCGGACTATGTGAGAAAAGTGTGTGGCTGCGCTTTGGTTCAGTTTTGTGTTCATTCTCACACGATAATCTGGATTTGACTTGTGTTCTGACAGGCTGCCACCTACAGCCTTTGCTCAGGGGCTGTGCTGGGGTGCTGGTGTTGAAATACATTATTAGAAACATTCCCAAAGACATCCCAGAGTCAATTTCTATCCAGAGTCTGTTTTAAAAAATTTCTTGTTCATCCTCATTATCAGTCAAGGATCAACGAGAATGATTTTGTTCGATCCATTCGTAATATCTGTCCAGTACCTCCACCTGATTGTTATGAACACGAACCAGAGCATGATTTGAAGAGATTCTTTATCAATGATGATCGCATCATTCATTTGGATGGCAAGTATCAGGTCGATCCAAAGGCCCTTGAAAGGGCAGAACATGCTCGAGAAGAATTGGAGGATACGAAGAAGGAACTTAAGAAGGAACTGGAATCATATGGTCCCAAGGGACCCAGTTGGGACTTTGTCACCTTCTATGAAGAGCTGTGCAGAAGGTTCCTCAAGGGAAGAATAGAAGAACCATATGGAACTAACTTATTGGCCAGCTCAGAGTCCTTGACATTTTTATCCTGGAACTATGGCAACATGGTTCGTGGTCAGAAGTACACCACACCAAGGTTTCTCCAAGGACTTGATAGTGCAATGAGGCCACGCAAACAGAGCGCCATGTCACTTCAGAATGAGCAATTTGAGAACAACCTTTTTCTTCAACATGCTCTTCTTTTTACGTGCACATGTCGTGATTCTACAGGAAGCTCATCTTCTTGTTCCTGCCAAGGAATTTTTTTTGAGCAAAAGAATTGGACAGTTTGTTTCAATGATTGGGAGAATCTTGCAGTGATGGCTAGATTGGCACCAGGTGGATATGTCAAGATCATTGCTGGACATGATCAAGAACTTGGTCACTGTGAACAGCGTGATGTAACTTGGGCTATCTACGAGATTTGTTTTGGAGAAACAAGGCCTCGTCAAGATTTCAAGGATGCAGACTTTGAATTTGATGACTATGGTCCTGAGGACAAGCGTGTTCCACTTACTCGAGCGAACATGCATACGATCAGAGTCTGTAATTATCATGTTGATACACACCGTGCTGTGGATGCCCACCTACTGACAGGAGAACAGACAGCATTGATGCTTTACGAGTGTTTTGTCTATGAGGTGGACATCATTTCTGGTGATGCAAATAGTTTGGCCTACAGAATGTCTGGGTACAAAAGGCAGCCAATGGCTAACTACTATTACAGCACCATGCAGCATTGGATCCGCAGGTTTTCAGAAGCTCGTGTAAAAGCAGATCCTGGTATCAAAGCACCTATCCCCAGAACATTTTACAGTTCAACTTCACAGGTCCTCAAGAAGTGTGAAGTTTACTTTGATAAACTCTGGGAAGAATATTCTACTGTTGAAAAAGAAGAATACCAAGGATCACAGCTTGGCGATACATGTTTGTCTACCATTGTTGAATGGGGTCATTCAATGAGTGAAGAGGAATATGAAAATTCCACAGTGAGCACGAAGGAGTTCATCTGTAATTTTTCAGAGAACTTTGCTATGATTGACACGGTTATGTGCTCAAGACCCTCTGACGAGGACAGTCATGGTCCAATGTTTATTTCACTCAGACCAGCTTCCTTTTCATCTGGAGACAGAAGACAGTATCGCATGGGAGCAACTCTTCATGAGGCGAACTTGCGGAGGAAGGAGAGACAGAAGCAGAATAGAAAGAAAGGAAGGCCGCCAACTTCTGATCAAGCAGCTTCATCGTCTGCAGCGGCATAATTCCTGAGCGAAGGCTGAAATTTAAATGATGGCTAGGAAGTGAAGATACTTCTGGTTACAGTTGATACTTTGCTTCCAAGCTTGACTTTAAGTTGCCGGGCTGAAGTTTTAAACTTTAGCAGGTAGATATGGACAGTTTTACATAACTGATGATATCTATCACCACCGCTCTTATGAAGTGACCTCTAATGGACAACCAGTCATGGTTGATGATTAAGTCATTTCATGATTTGCAATTGTAGTGCAAGATTTTTTGTACATACATGTGCCGGTATCTCCTTCTTGTGTTTTTGATGTGAATGTGAAAGAGAGTCCTTTTGATGCAGTTTTATTTTGTCTGTGGATGAAAGCGGTCGAGACCACGTCACGAGAAGATTATTCCTCGGACCGTACGCTCCTTGCATTTTGCAAGGCATTTTAATTAATTGCATTTGTGCGGTCTTGAGTTTTTGTTTCCTTGTTACGCGAGTGTCGTTTGATTCTTTTATAGGTCTCTGTAGAGAAAAAGCCGCTTTCCCTTTTTAGTTTGATTTAGCTCAGGCCATAAAGAGCTAGTGAGCGCCGGTACATGGTATCTCCGCCTGTGAAAAATACAGTCTCCAGCCGAGGTACATTATCGTTTTGATTTTGTACTTGAGGTGAGTCAGCTATTGCTCCCTCACTGTATTTAGTAGCTTTGCGATTACCTTCTCTATAGTGTGAAACACACTGGATTAGGTAAGTACATGGCACCGTAGTTTTCTTTTAAGTTGCTAGAGCTAGCTGGACTGTTTTAGCCTTGCAGTAGAAAAAGAGTGTGCGACATACGCAATCAGCTAGGAGTGGACATGAATCTTGTGCCTGCTGAAAAGTAGAGCCTACCTGTACAGGGTTCCACTCCAACAGCCGATATAGTGTGTCCATACTTGACTGCTTCAAGGCTCAAAGAGCAAGAGGATAAGACTCTGCGCATAAAAGACACTAGCGGTCTGCACCTCTACCGTGTACGCCCTAGTCACTCTTTCACCCCCCACCCCCCCTCCCCTCCCCTCCGCCCCTCTCCCCTCCTCCCCTCTCCCCTCTCCCCTCTCCCCACCCCACCTCCCCTCTCCCCTCTCCCCACCCCACCTCCCCTCTCCTCCTCCTTGTCTTTCTCCCACTTTCCCTCCCTCCCTCCCTCCTCCCTCTTCCCAAGTTCGACTCCGTCCTGTCGTCGCTCTTTGGCATGCGGTTAGCGTTGCGTGTCTTGCGGCCGCACTCGCTCACTCTCACTGTCTCACTGTCTCACTGTCTCTCTCTCTCATCTCTCTCATCTCTCTCATCTCTTTCTCATCTCTCTCTCCTCTCTCTCATCTCTCTTTCCTCTCTCTCTCTCTCTCTCCTCTCTGTCTCTCGTGTTTCCGTCTCTCTTCTCTCTCTTCTCTCGCAGGAGGATCCGGGCAAAGAGCCACATATAAAGGACTCTTCACCCCTGCCTCCAAAAAGAGCGCCGTGTTTTTTCCTACCTCGCTGCCCTCCACTTTCCCATTCTGGAGCGCTAGCTTTCGCCCCCCCCCCCTTGGCCTCAAGTTTCAGAGACAAAAAACATTGAATGGCAACTCTAGGCACAAAAAGCAAGTCTGGGTTCGTGGGGAGGGGACACGAGTGGAGCATTCATTTTGTGTAGATCGAGGCCAACAACCACACAAGGAAGGGCCCTGACTGACAACAATCAGAACGTTGAAAGGCAAGGTTTCTAAATGTTTTAGAGGTCTCTCCATCATCCAATTTCCACGGGAAAACCAGACTCCCCAATTGACTGACCATGACAAGGTTGTTCGCCAACTCCGCATGCCCATGGGCAGAGTCCTCCACGCGCCAAGGAAGGCGACAAGCTCCTCCGGACCCAGAGGCCACGCGTACGACGCAGTCGCTGGGAGAACCGTGGACAGCAAACCGGATCCGAACGGCATTGAGATTCCACTTCAAAACGTCACGTTTTTGTTCAGGGTATTGATCTATATATATATGCATATATATACTACTGTTGCCAGCGAATGTCATAAGCAGGCCCTGTCGAGTTCACTGGCAGGCGCTGCCCACGGCGGAGGAACGGCCCTTGGGCCAGGTGAGGCTTTTGCAACCGCCGGACGTCACACCCCAAGAGGCGCGGCGGACGTCAACGCGAAGCGAGGAGTGAGAGGTGAGGGGTGAGGTGAGGGGTGAGTGTGGGGTTTTTTCCTGAGGTCGTTTGGGTTAAGGCGGTTAAGGACACTTTTTTTTTGCCAGCTATAGTGCCATGTGTGACGGCTAGGCTTTGCAGAAAAAGATTTGGGGAAGGTCCAAGCACCAGTTGCTTGCCCATGATTGCCTGGGTTTCCGGTCGAGGCTCCTGTACTGAAGAAATTAAGGGTGGAAAGTGTTGGAACAAGGCCACCACAGATTTGTTGATGATATTTTTGGGTATCATCATCATGTTGTAGAACTGTACTTGTTTCTTTCTTCACACTTAGATAACATATGATAACATCAGTCAGCTGCAATTCTTCCACACCGGTTTCAGTGGTCCTTGGATCGGATCCCCCTCCTGTCCGATGCACGGTTTGCAAAGTATGCAAAGCCAAAGTTCCCTCAGTTTACCACGGTCCCTCTGAGCTTGGGCCAGTTCCCCCTTTGAGGGCCCAAAAGCTCGAGACTTTTCCCAGGTCCTGAGCAAATACGCCGTCCTTTGCGAGTACTTGGAGCGGCGCCTAATGCATGGATTGGCGGAGACGTTCTCAATGTGTTTGGTTTCTACCTACACTTCCCGGAAGAATCATGGGCTAACGTGGATGGGAAAATGGCTGCGACTTCGGAGGAGCATATCTTCCGAATGCAGGTGGTTTTCACTCGACTTAGCCATGATTCCAGGGAGTCTAGGTTCCTCAGAGAGAAAGGCAGAATGGCCACCAACAGGCCTAGATAGAAAAGGTCTGAAAAGGTCAAACAAGTCACCTTGAAGAGGCTGGCAGTGTGTAACAGTGTGTATACTTATTTCTCATCACCTTTTTCGTCCTTCGACCCACCTTTGTTCTCATCACCTGGGCGATCTCACCCTCGAGACCTCGCTGAGAATCCCCTGAGACCGAGGGGTACCCCCGCCCCCCGCAACGCGGTGGGTGGCATGGGAAGCACGAAGGACCACAATTTGAAAATGCCCACCACCTCGCAGCTGCAGAACTGCGCCAAGAACAGCGGCCACTTGGCGAGCCAAAACGCGGCCGCTTTTGGTTCGACGTCGAAAAAGTCCAATGCCGTTGGCTGCAGAGGTTCAGAGACGACCCGCACATGGAAACACCAACAACCACCAGAGCTTCTGCAGTAGCTTGCAGAACTTTGATGGGAAGTTTCGGCAACACATCCAAACATCATGCAAACCAACCACACGCCTGTGATCGTGGATCGAGGTTTGCAGCTCTCCTATGCTGTGGCTGCTCCCATGATCAAGGACCTGGACGACGAGCGGATGGCGGATCATGGTGGATGGAGTTGTGGTTTCCTCCGCTGTGGTGATCATAATGTAGAGCAATGCTTCGGTTGATGGCGAGAAAGAGGACAAATATGGACAACTACGACCAGAATGATCCAGAATGGTGTTTCAATGTGTTTCATCTCCATATTTGGTTTTATTCATCGACAGCTTTTTACATGCTATACATGAATATAAACCCGGTTTTCCACCACTGCAACGGGAGATCATCATGCCAGATCGCTGGACCCTCAGAGGGTGTTGGAGACACACTCCATCCACCGGAGGATGGGGCGCTCATTCCTGAAGAAGCCCATCGGATGGGATGCCTAAAGCCTAAGTACCCCTCTGAGAACTGAAGGAGAACGGGGAACTTGAAGGAGAACCGGGAGCGCCAACTGGCGCATCCACAAATACCGTACACTCTGACGAACACATCACATGGAAGTGGATGGCATGGCCCCAAAAGAAAGACTAAGAACAGGGGTCAACTCCACTTCCATGATTGTTGGAGCGAGGGTATCTCCATCAAAACTTCAGCGAACTGAGGCGAGGCGAGCCGATGTCCATTCACCTGGGTGGTGAACGCCACACTTCATCTTTCGTCGGAAAGGTGAATGCCAACCTTGCGTGCTGTTTTTTGTCTTCTTTTTTGGAGGGGACGGCAGTATATGCACAGGTTGTTTGGGGTTGAAGGCCTTCTATGGGTGTAACCCCCAAGATGTGAATATAGTTTGGGAATTCCACTGAACTCCTAGTGACAGTCACCAAATGGCGGCAGCAACTGATCAACCAGGAGCTGCGACTTTGGATCATGTCCAAAGCTGTGGGGCAAGAGGCGAATGCCGGGACTGGTGGCCGGCAAGAGTGTGATTTCTGTTATTAATCATGTTTAATTACGACACTATAACCGCAAAGTAAAGGTTCTTTTTTTGTTCCAGGGTTGTTAGGTGGCGTGTGGTGGTCCGCGTGCAGCCAGCTGGGTTGGCCAGTAAACCATTGGGGCACTTTTTGGTTCAGCACAGTCAAGGGCATGCAGTTAAACATGTAGAGACGTAGAGGAGGCAAATGCTTTGACATGCGTGGGGAAGCCTGTCGTAAGTAGATTAGCCAGAGGCATCCAGAGGCCCTGTCTTTTTTTCCGGTTTCTTCAAGTGATTGCTAGACCCATGCATAGGAACCTCAATTATACAGGATTTCGATGTTCAAGCCAAAAGCCAAAAAAGAAGCCTTGAATAAGAAACCGGTGGACCCCATGAGGCACCGGAAGCCTGCAATCATCCCCATGTTTGCATCATATTCTCCCCCTGCAAACCATTACATATTTAAGGGGCTAGAACGGTACTAGAACGGGGTCAGCGGATTTGCTCAAGAATATCGGGGTGCTTTGTGTTTGCATGTTGCTCGCCGGTTGTCCTCATTGTTGGAACCGTTCGAACAAGCCCAGTCACCGCTGCTGTTCGCCACGATGACCCTTGTGTGACACGTAGAAGTCCTCTCGCCCGGCCAAGCGAGTCGGCAGCGGGTGGATGAGTCAGCGCCCAGGTGATGATCTTCGACATTTTTGGCACTTCGATCTCGGGCACCCTCCGTCACTGGTGCTCAGAGCACGACAACTGGTCGGCCCGGACCGCCGAGAGAGCGACAAAACGACCCAAAACACGGAGCGAGCGCCGGAAGCGTGTTTGGAGCAGAGTTTTGAGGGAACGCAGCGCTGGACCCTTATGGCATCTCAGGAATTTCCAGTTTATATATATATATACTAAACGATTATCAAAGCCCCCTAGGGTCAAGAAGGTCCTTGGGAGGTGTGCATGAGTTCGCAGGATTTCGCAGGTAGGCAAAACATGTAAATTGAAGTGGATTTGGCTTTGGGGTTTTATGATGTTTGATGTAGTGGACATTTAGATGGCGAGCCAGGCAAGTGGCCAGCAAACTTGTTGCAACGCATTGATAGTGTGCAAGCGAAGTCTGAGTGATGGTGGCCAGTTCAAGACGAACAGCCATCCAGTCATGTGTGATTCTGCCATGGGTGACTCAGCAAATCTTGGCAAGATCTATATCTGACAGTTGATTAACAACACCTTCCCATTAAGACAGATGCAGCACCTCTTCGCACGGATGTTTCGGTGTTTGAATACAGCTGATCAATATCGACCGCAGATCCGAGAGAGAGAGAGAGAGAACAAGTCCCGCGGCAGCTGGGCTGACGACCCTAGCTGGACTACCCTCCTCCGCTGGAGGTCCAGCTACAAATACGGAGTCAGGTTCTGAAATTCGTCTGTTGGTGGTCGAATTGAGGGTGGTTCCCTTGACGTGTCTCCAATCAATTCTGCGTTCACAGATCCAGCTCGCTTGATTGATCAGTCGTTTTCATGTGCACTTGGTTTGATACTTGAGGCTTGAGTTGGGTATCAAGCGTCCAGAAATGTCCCTTTCAGTTCAGGATGAGTAGCACCCTGCGGCATGAACCAACATACTGCTTCGGTAATCCATGAAACGAACAAGATGTAAAATATAGACCGTGCACCTGCTTCCATCACTCTTCAGTTGGTAGAGCAAAAACATGCAAAAGTCACATCAGAGGAGATTGCCAGCTTCCCACTGCCACTGTACTTAGAATTCCGGTACATTCTCAGAGCTGTCGGTGCAAGCCAACAAAAATTGCCTTTTGGGGAGCCGTAGCGAAAGCGGGTTTGTCCTATTGCCAACAGTCAGTAACCATCATCATCCACTGTGGCAATCGGATAGACCCGGACTGGGATTGTCGTGAATTGTTTGCGTGGGATCTAAGGTGGAGATTTGGACGGAGGACGGCAAAAGGCGTGGAGATAATCCGTCTATTCTGCGCCGAAGCTGCTGCATGCGGCTGAAGTCCATTGGCGAGTCCTTACTGGTACTGGCTGGAGAATCTGATGTTGAATGCATTCCAGCCCCTTCTCATTTTTCTATATGTTCTCCCATGTCCTTAAGTCTTGTGTGCGCCGACACCAAGCAGGAGATCAGCCATGCAGGTCGAATATCTCTTCTACGCCCCGTGTAGCATAGCACATCGACCATTTCGTCCACGGAGCGCTCCATTTGCGGACCTTTTCCGTGCCCACCAATACGGACATTGCTTAGGGAGGACCCAGTAGACTCCAGCAAGCACTCACCCACCAGTCACCCGTCCTTCCCGTCTCTTTCCCGTCTTTCGGGCCAGGTGTACCTTTCGCTCCTCCCGGGATCCCACCTTCTCCGTGTCCAGCAGCTCAGTCACTCGCGATCGTATCGACCGCGAGGCCCTGGGCCGCAGCCGCATGGGTTTTTCAATATAGAATGGGGACCCTTTGTCTAGTACATCTACAAAATGTCAATGGATGCCATCCAAGGACCCATTCTACATGAACTAGTGAGGGTACCCTGGATGGTTCCACCCCGATTGATTTGAGGTTGTTCTTTCCAAATGGCGTTGAAACCACAGGAGGGTAGGGGCACCAAAGCATACGAAACCCATCATGTCGAGAATCTCAGAAAAATATCGACTGTATACGCATGTATACACTGCACTTTGCAATACTTTCATCATTTTTCATCTCCTTTCCCTCCCCATTGACAAAGTTGCGTCCTCCCCGCTCCGTTTTGTGCATCCGAATTCGGAAATCACGACCCCCATCGAGGCATTTACAGTGGTTTCAGAGGCTCAGAGACACAAGTTCGCCCCAAGATGTCTTACATCAGAATCAGATGCGCGGCGGTTTGGTCAAAACAAAAACACGTGGGCCAGCTTGTGCCATATCCACTTTGGGAGTCACAAAAAGCTAAAAGGGTGTCCTACAACTAACGATCATCATCCGTTGCTGGTAAAGAGGATACAACCCCCACCCATACCCCACTTGTTCTGCCTTTTTGGGTCTCCCACGTTGACGCGGTGCGCGAGTCGGGTGCGTCTCCGTGTGCGACCGGAGTCGGACGTCGGAGTCAAAGGGAGGTCAGTCCGAGTTCGGATCTAACCCTCAGAACACTTGGTCATTGAAAAATGGGCACGGATGATTGAAAGATATTGAAAGTATGTGTTAACATAACTGAATTCGGAAACTGTCTCATCAACTTCCAGGCTATCACCATTTGCGTGTGGCATTGCTTTGGTCCATTGCTCTCTACCAACATGCACTTTCTTTCCGCGGTGCCCCAACCTTCCCCGCCTGTTTGTGCGAGATGTCTTTCGGCAATCATCGCTCCGTGCAAAAATCTGCACGGCAGAGAAGCTACATCACGTTGCTTCCGACCACGGGCACGTTGCTTCCGACCAGCGTTGCTCAGGTCTCCCAGCTGGGCTGCTTGGTTGAGAAGCAGCGCCTGGCCCCGATCGGCGGACCGCGCGGGTGCGTGAGGCGTTGAGGGGTTTGATGCTTACGCAAAAGATACAATGGGTTCAGAGTTATGCACAATCCCCACAATGTTTGATAGATGGAGGTCCACGTAAACCATATTAAACCATAAGCCACCAAACTTGGGTTGCGCCGCCTTTTACACCAACTATAGTTATAAATGACCATCCTGTTCGGGTGTCCTCGCTGGACTACCCCACACCACTGTTTGGGATCTCCAGCCAGGTAATTATATATTAGCTGCTAGCTGAAGATACGATCGAGAATTGCGAAGCATCGACTTCGGTCCTGACTAGCTACAGCTCGATCAACTGCGGCAATTTCCTGTTCTTCTCCATGCCAGAGGGCTTCATTGTTTGGTATGCCCAGTTGTTTGCACCACAATGTTGGATCCTGATTAGTAAAGGGGGGTCCCCCCCTCCCTCAAACAAATAGGGGACCCTCTATAATAAACTACCACCAAAACAAATCTGGATTCCTGTGAGGATTCCTTTTTGTAATTGATTGTAGTATATATTTTCCTTTCATAGATTGTATATCAGCTAATGAATCATAATCATTGGCCTCAGGAGCTAAGTAAAGGAAGATTCCATGAGCAGTTTTTTTCAGTGGAAACAACTTTTCACAATTGAGAACCCCTAAAACAAATCTATTATTGGTGATCAGGTGCCTTCCTGGTCTACTACCTTGAAAATTTGTTTAGGAGCAATGTTTTATAAAGGGTTTAATTAGGAATTGGTGGTTTTGGAAAGCTGTCAGTTTTGAAGAAACCTAGAGAAACCTATATCAGCTAATGAATCATAATCATTGGCCTCAGAAGGAATTCAAACCCTCATTAATTAGGTGTCCAATATAAATTGATTAGGGTCCCCAAACAAAATTAGCATTATTCAGGACCACTTTTTCCAACATGGGGTCTGGAATAATTTTGGGAAAAATTAGCATTCTTGAAGACCGGTGTACTAATCAACATCCAACATTACGTGATGCAGCTCAGTTTGCACAGCTGTTTTCTTCAGCAGCAGTCCTCGTGGCATTCATGGACAAAAGCTTGCGCCTTGACAAGCCCAAACCCAAATATAAATATAATATATATACATATATGCTTTGATCGCACGGTGCCTCTTGCGCCACACTTAGCGCTCCCCAAGAGACGAAGCGACAAACACACACACACTCTGACATTGGTTTTCAGTTAACTCAGTTCCCAAGTGGAAGAAAGGCGAAAGAACGGAAAGGCGATAGGTCCAAGCATTTGAAGGTGTTTTAACAAGAGGTTCAACTCCTATGCATTAGCCGCTTTACTGAATACCTAGCAGACCGCCTATGCATTAGCCGCTTTACTGAATATCTGGTAGACCGCCTATGCATTAGCCACTTTACTGAATACCTAGCAGACCGCCTATGCATTAGCCGTTTTACTGAATACCTAGCAGACCGCCTATGCACTAGCCGCTTTAAACAGTTTTTAAACAGTTTTGCAGGTACGTTTTCACACCTACCACTGCCGGTCTTCGTTGGCCACAGCAGCAGTGGCAGGTCTGTGGCCCCCTGCTTCTTTTGGTCCTACTAGTAGCAAGGCCAGAAACTACTAGTAGTACCCAGCCTTCTAGTGGAACCGACGGTAAAAATTACCAGCCAGGTAAAACCTTAGAAACAGGTGTTAACACACACACACACACACAGTGCCGCTATCGGCGCTCTGTGTGCAACAACTTTGTACATATAGCGCCAGTTCTGGCGCGGCGGAAAAAATACTAGCCACCTAAAAAGCCTCAGAAAGACAGACAAAGAAAACAATACAAAAGCAGACTAAGAGGGCAAGAAAGAAAGAAATAGGTGTAGTTACGAGGCCCACTTAGTTAAATGAAAGTAGCTCGCGAGCAGGAACTTTGTCTTAGACCGCTCGGGTAGCTAGCAATAGATAGGAGAAACAGAAGGAAAGGCACCAACACACAAGTGTGTTGAGTGCGATTTCCTTCTGTTGCCCGAATAGCGGGTGGGATAGCAACGGAGGCCAGGAAGTAGGGAGGGGTGTCGTGTCTCACCGTTCAATTTCCGTGAAGCCCGGCGGCTTTGTGGCAGTTGATCCAGTAGTGAAACAAAGTCGGTTAAGAGAATCCAACGAACGGTGGAAACGGTGGAGTCTGTTACACGAATTCCGAAGTGGAAACGGCGCCTCCTTGCGGAGGATCACACCCAGCACCCAAGTGGGACGACTGAGCGAGTCACACTCTGACATTGGTTTTCAGTTAACTCAGTTCCCAAGTGGAAGAAATGCGAAAGAACGCAAAGGCGATAGGTCCAAGCATTTGAAGGTGTTTTAACAAAAGGTTCAACTCCTATGCATTAGCCGCTTTACTGAATACCTAGCAGACCGCCTATGCATTAGCCGCTTTACTGAATACCTAGCAGACCGCCTATGCATTAGCCGTTTTACTGAATACC